CTTGCTCATTATTACAGGTAGATGGATGCTGCATGTAGCAAATGAAAATTAACAATATTATCATATTCTTAACATATTAAACACATTTATGACAAAAATGGACTTAACCTAGCCTGGCTCTGAGTTACAGACTTAGAAATTGATCCTGGGTTTTTATGCTAAAGCAGCCTATTATTGATCTGATATCGAAATAAGAATGCTCCGTTATAGTTACGGAAAAAAAGGGCCTATTTCATAAGATAATTTTAACTTATTCAGTTCTGTTACCGGAAATTCTTATATGTTTAAGATAATTTCAAGTTATAAAAACATTTTGATTACAGTGTAACAGAAATATGAGGCTTAGATCACACATAAAAGTAAATGGAAGAAATAGGCAGTGTTTTAGATGAATTGAACTGCCCTGATTTCTGGTATATATGCAACGTGGCAATGTAGGATTTCATTGTAGTTCTGCTGGTTTTGTGGTCACATGTCGTTTTGGGGTTCTATGATTCTAAACCTATTCAGTTCTTGTCCGGTTTGCACACAAATATTACCGAAACTTTAACAAGAAAAAATTCAAATAATTTGTAAAACTTTGTGGTAAGCTTCACGTCAAAATCGAAAAAAAAATAGATTCGTAATAACCACGAGATTCTACAAAGGAATCAACTTACATGCGTGAGGTCAGATGGTGGTGGTCAGGCCATTCTATCCAACATTAACGCCCCAAAAATGACAAGAACACTCCGGAAACATGACATCCATACATATTTTCGAAAAAGGTTTTCAGGAGATCAAAAAAGACATTAATTTGTGGCCCCTAATACGACCTAGATAGTGACCTTGACTTTGACAGGAAATTCGGAATCAATACAGAATTCTACACAAAGGGCATTTTGCATACATGACAAATTAGTAGGCGAATGTGGTATCAAAGGGTGTAGTTGCCATCTGAATTTACAGATTTGATTTTCAAGTGACATCTGAAGTCTAGAAAACACCTGAGGTTATCGATCAATTCCTTTTTTGATTTCATGAAGGCTTTGTTTAATTTCCTTTTCAAAACCGTGCGCTGTAGGCAAGGTTACGCGAGGTTTGCGTACTTTTGGCCTTTTCAGCTTAACTTACCAATTTGACCACTTATGATTACATGGCCTCTCATATTAATATAGATTTGTATGTAGAATTAAAAATAATATTTGCAATTTGACTATACGACCGACCTCAAAATGACCTCTGAGAGTCATATAAGAGGTCATCAATAGTTACTTTTTCCGAAAAAATAATACGTGGTTGCCATTCTCAGAGAGTTCATGAACCTTGCAAACATTACAACTCGACATAATGATGGTTCGACTACTTTCACCAACTGACTACACGTATCAAAGTTGATGTCTTGTTGATTACGAATCCATTATAAAAATGGTGTTTGCTTTTTAAATTCATGAACCTGACCTACACATGATCTCATTATCGGGATCACCAAATCTCCGTATTTGATCTTCTGATACTGTTATAGGAATAATTTTCCGAAAAAGTGCATAGTTGATCCAATTTTATGTGGAGTTCGAGAAGCTTTAAATTGTATCATACAAACTATCCACTAACACCGACACTTCGAATGCTTGCTTGTAAGATACTAAAGTGCTGTTAAATGTGGAATATCTTAGCTGACGACGTTTTGGCAACGATTCTGATGTTATTTGTACTCGAAAAAGGCCACCGCGATGGCCGAAACGTCGTACAGTAAACAGTAATTTAAACTTAAGTGGTTTTATTTAGCGGCCAGACAAACATGGAGAATTATCAGCATGAAAACCATGCAGATAAATTTCAGGTGTTAAATTAGGAATTACTTTGTCCCAAATTAACAAATTAATATTGCTCTGGCTGGCAATATTATAATCTGCTCAAAAATGGAGCCAATTTTTAATGTTTGTTGGGCAATCTCTTGCTTCCCGTTTTAATTAACGATATAATATACCTATATTGCAAATCCACTCTGCATACCTCGAATTCTTCATACGGGTTTGATGTTATATTAATTGTTATCCACGCAAAATAGGAATTCCGTTGAATATATTGTTTATTGAAAAATGCTTGAACGATATGCGTTGAATATGTGACCATCGAGTTATTAACAGAAGAGAATTGCGTCAAGTAGCAATAATCTAAATCTATCCAAATTGTTTTTTAAAAGCCCGAGGCTCGTAATTTCGGCATTTTTGTGTAAAATACAACTGTTTTCGAATATTAAACTTGGTATGTCTCTTGAGGACTGTTAATTCTTGGGAGCAAATTAAAAGGGAGGATTAGTAGTCAAATCGTTATTTCCGGGCGAAGTACAAAATAGCTTCTTTTGTTTGCTTGACCTCCAGGACTACTTTTAAATTTTTGTATCTCTTTTGTGTTTGTGTGCCTTTTGAGTTTGTATCTCCTTCAGCGCCAGAGTTCCAACATTGGTTCTTGTTATTTCTTTTCCTAGTTCTTAGAACTAGGAGGCGCCCAAACAACAACCATTTCCTCCAAAAAACCAAAGTACAAGGGACCTTTACTCTGAGGTGTCATACTGGCTCGTCTCGGGGGCAAATCATACTTTACACATTATTATAGTTATATTATATACTCGTATAAAGAAGGCATATTTCACTATTAAAGATAAACCTAAAGTGTCATCCCTTCAAAGACGTCTTGTGATATCTTTTACATGCAGCTAAAATTGGGGATTAGGGGTTGCAGGATTGGGGGAGGTATATCTCAATTTCTCAACCACAGTAATTCTAAGCACCTATTATTTCTCTCGTACATTTACCATAAGAACTTGGAAACATATGCAATAGTCGTGAAACTAAGAAATCAAATAATATTTTTATTCGCATGTTGGCGAATACTAACAAGATTATTGAATGCAACTGGTATACCTTCAAAGGCGAGCGTTCTCTTTGTATCTGCACAGAATGTATTTTAACCTATTAGAAACACCATTAAAATCGCTCATTTTCATTCTTATGCGAGTGTGACCTACGAGTATACCAAATAAATCAAAAATACCGAAAAAAAGTTACAAGGTAATCACAATCTCATACAGAATGTCAGATAAATAATTATTTTTAATAAATATTCTAACCATTATGTCATTCCTGCTGCTCAATTTTTTTGAACTATTGTCGGAACCAGTATCCAATTATGGCTTTGAGATATCTGAAATTTTTTTATGCTCTATGAGTACACAAAATATATGAGAAACATAGTTTATTTTTTCACCTGAGACTGAAAGGACCGTCCACAGGCAGCGAGATTTACTAATCTGGCCGCTGTGAGCTGCGCGGGTTCGAATCCCATCCAGGAGAAATTTTCCGTTGGCTATGGTTGTTATGTTTCTCTATGTGGAGGTACCACCCGGCGGACCTGTGAGGTGGGGCCAGAATGAGTGCATGTTGCAGGCACATGTCTGCTTTCCGTATCTGTAAACAATACCAACCGCAGACAGCGCTGTTTTGTACTAATCAATGCAGTATAGGTCTTGGAGACAAACGAATGGCAAGCAATACAACTGGGTACGGTCTTTTAAAGAAGCCAAAACATTGTGCGCAAGTAGGTGGGAAGTCTGACGATCGCGAACCTATCTACAGCTGTTCCTTTTTTTTACCATAAACACAATACTAATTCTACCTGCCTATTGCGCCGATCGCCCCTCTCAGTTATTTCAAACAGGAACCCAAGCATTTCTTATTTAATTTCTACATCGTGGCGCCATCTAGCACACGAGGGTAAAGCACTAGACAAAACTCACCCCCTTGATGAAAGGGTTGGTATCTGCACTTTAACCCCTCTGATATAGAAGGATTGAAAAAGGAAAAACAGGGTTCGAATCATTTACAACAGAGGGCAACACTGATAGAGCTATCTATCGTTTATAGTATAACCTTTTCTTATTTCTATTTGATGCAATATTAGAAATATCCTGATCTGTGTGGATAGCCTGCAGCATATGTGAAGTTTTTATTAGCAAAAGTACCAGATGGGTGGCTATAATCTTTAATATAATAATTGTAAGTTGAATCAAAATGAACGATATTTCTTATATAAAAAATCTTCACATATTTATATATGAAATTACAAATCTTTGAGGATTTCAGTGGGTAATCTTATTTATTTTCCAACTGTCTCTAGTATTATGTATAAAAATTATGGAAAATAAGTGACTTTGACTTTGAAAATTGTCAGGATTATGGAGTTGAAGGGTGTAGAGGTCTGCTTGGAAACTAAAAATAAACCAATAAAACTTACAGCAGCTGATAGATTTCCCTCAACAGTTTTCTTGGCTGCCTAAATGCGTACTTTAAGCAAGACAACTTTTGTTCAACTGATTTGTAGGTGATATATAAATTTATATGACAACAATAAAGTAGGTAATAATTATTTAAACATACGAAACGTGAATTCAGATCATAAATAAATACTTTTACACCACATTTACATAAAATACACATGAATGGACCGCATATACGATACAGAGTTAAATACTTTTACCAGGTTTCGAAATTCCGATGAGACTGTATTGACCACATTTTCATAAAATACACATCAATGGACCACATCTACGGGCCTATTATCCTTCAATGTGATATTACTGATCATTTTCCAGACCTACTGTCACCTGAAACTAAAGCAGCTTAGGTACGAGTATTCCAATGGAACAGCAAAAAATATTTAGATGAAAAAGCTAATTAATATATGTAGCATAACAAGAACATGGTTAAGCGTTTATGAAAATACATCATTAGAAGCTGCGTTTAATGCTGGCATAAGTACAAGTCTGATTATGTTAGTTGAAACTAGCAACACATTAGGAATAAAAAGACATTATAGGAACAACCATTGCGAAAGTTGTGTGAAAAGGCTTGTTGCTGACAATTCGGCCAATTTGTGATTGAGGTACATACGGTCTACCAATTGGTTCAGCGAAAACAGATAAATTTTAACGGTCTCTATTGCAATAATCTTGTTGATCAGACTTTTAAACTGCTAATCCGTTTTGGGGAAGTTCTTCAGGCTGATTGTCCTTATTCCTGATAGTCTAAAAAAAGAACGGTTATCAAGATATAGAACTCAACCAATTTAAAATATGAAGTGCTGATGCGTTTTCCTGAAAGACATAGCTCGAGAAATCGTCATTTGATATCGATAGAAAACAGAAAGCTTCTTCGCATCTCAACCTACAATTGACTGTATTATTACTACTTTTATTCAAAGTTGTGATACTCTACAATACTAAAGAAGTCGTTTAATATATACAAACCCCCTTTATATCATCTTTATAAAGTCGAGCCAAGACGATTCTGCAAAATGTTCGCCTCACCCAGATAAAATTCATCAAATTTTTATTTGGCGGCGCTATGCTGTGACTCCCTTCGAATTTTTCCCCTCTTTCCCGAGGAGTTTCAGCCAGTTTCGCGTTGGTTCGAGACAAGAAAATCATTTATCAATTCTAATTGTCTCTTTCTACGTCTGTCTCGAATAGAATATATTTTCGGAGATTTTAAAACAAGGGGTGCTGCAGTTATATTCAGCGTTTGATTTTAATATCTTTTGCTATCTCACAGGTCCGAGAAACTGAAAGTGCCATCATCAGGAAATAAATCTCCTGATGCTTGGGGTTGGACGTGGGTGACATTTTCACGCAAGGGTTGTTTTGCGGAGGAAACGAAATTATCATTACATAATGTCTTAACTTTATATGAATGACATAAGAATATGATATTCCCTAATCTGCTTTTTTAAGGATGATATAATTTATCCCCGTTTTTTAGTTCTTGCGAAAATCGCGAGGAAGTAACGCGTTCGCGAAAATGATGATCACTACTCTGCTAATTACGGAAAAGCTCTATAGGTTTTGAAAATCGTTACAAGGGCGGCAGAGAAAAAGGCCAAAACGAAAAAAAATTGCTAAAACCTCGTTTATGACGTTTCGGAGGATCCTGTTCATTTTCAGAAAACGTTTTGCAGGGATTAAAAATTATGTATTGGGTGTTGTAGGGGGAGGGGGAGATTATGTGTCATTTTATACGTTTCCAACCCCGGTAATTCTACTTACCGATTAGACATATTTCGTATATCATATATTTTCCCGATTTTCTGGCTGTACACGAATCTGAAGTCGGACTTAGGAATGGACAATATACCGGGTGATTTTTTAAGAGGTATAGGATTTGGTTTTCAAAAAAAACACAAAAAATTTGAAAAAACGATTAAATCTTTATTTGAGTCGATACAACGGCCGATATAATTTAATGTTTAAAGATTATTTCATGTAAATGTTGGCCGCGGCTCCGCTTTAGATGGCCCATGCGCAAGGTCCAATTTTGGCACACTCTCTCCAACATATCGGCCGGTATCTCACGAATAAATGCTTCAATATTGGCTTCCAGTGCGTCAATCGTTGCTGGTTTATCCCTATTTTACATTAGCCTTAACATGGCCCCACAAGAAATAGTCCAACGGCGTTAAATCACACGATCTAGGCGGCCAATGACGGGCCCCAAACGAGAGATAAACTGTTTACTGAACTCGCCTCTCAATAGGGCCATTGTTTCGTGTGCGGTGTGGCATGTGGCACCGTCTTGTTGAAACCACATGTCAGCCAAGTCCAGCTCTTCCATTTTGGGCAAAAAGAGTTTGTTATCATCGCACGGTAGCGCTCGCCATTCACAGTTACGTTCCGGCCATTGTCGTCTTTGAAGAAGTACGGCCCGATGATGCCACCGGCCCATAATCCACACCAAACAGTGATTTTTTCGGGATGAATTGATAGCTCTTGCAATGCTTCTGGCTGGTCTTCACTCCAGATGCGGCAATTTTGCTTGTTAACGTACCCATTCAACCAGAAATGAGCTTCGTCGCTGAACACAGTTTTTCGATAAAAATGTGGATCTTCCTCCAACTTTGCCAGCGCCCATTCACCAAATTGGAAGCGTTGTGGGGAGGTCGTGTGGCTTCAATTCTTGCACCAGCTGTATCTTATAAGGTTTTACACCCAAATCCTGTCGCAAAATTTTCCACGTAGCTGAGTAACAGAGGCCCAATTGCTGCGAATGGCGGCGAGTCGACATTTCACGGTCATCACTAACACTGGCGCATACAGCCGCAATATTTTCTTCAGTCGTCACTCTACGTCTGCGTGTTGGTGGTTTAATGTCCAATAATGTAAACTGGGTTCGAAATTTAGTCACAAGCTTCCGAATAGCTCCCTCAGTAGGCCGACCAAATTGCCCATAAATTGGAAGCAGTGCACGATGCACTCACTCTCTTAACCGATAATTTGCAAGCTTTGTTCGTTCGTAAGTCGATTCATGGTTAAATTATAGACCAAACTGAACAAGTTTGACAATGACACAAGACACGATTCACGCGTCATCTGTCAAAAACAGTGTTGCCAAAAAGATACTATCTAAAAAATCACCCATTAGTAGCCTCGACATCAAGATTGTATGTTTTAGAATTTTGATGAATGTGCATAGAATATTAGATCTGCACCTCCAGCAAAATATCAAATTCTACAATACTGATGTCGAAGTTACTTTCATATTTGCCCATCGTGGACCTGTGTTATAATCAAAAAGCTACACTTGCAATTAACTGAACAGAAATAATTAATGGCATGCATATTATGGACGTGTATTAATTTTTTCCGCTGCAATTGTCAGAGTATCTCGTCAAACAACTGTTCTCATTAGCACTTCTGATCAAAGCCATTTAGTCGTCAACGAAATGCGGTTTTGTTAACTTAATAATGATCGGATACAATGCAAAAATGTCCTGCAGAGCGCTGGTCACCGGACATAATACTGCAATTTTGAAAGAACCCTGCGGGTCGGCGTTATTCGATTCGCTAATTATCATGACAAAAGTGGACGCTGCAGGCGAGAATATGAGGGGAAATTGGCCCTTTGTATCGGTATCCAGCGTGATTTTTGACCCTTTGACCGTTGACGTGCCCTTGAGAGATATTTACAAACGACTTTAAGTCGAAGGTAAATGTTACCGCTCAACAAAATCAAATATGAAGACACTGAAGTCATTTAGATTTAATCAATCTGTATTCTCTAAAAGTGCAATATTTTGCATTGTCTCCTGGGGCGAGTGAATGAATTAATACTGAAGTGTCAGTTTCTAAGAAATTATTTTATTTTTGAAAATTCTATGTTGGGTGTCATAACGAATATTAGCATATAAGAGAGCAGAAGTAGCTTTTTGTATCGCTAATAAAGAGGTCATCGCCATACTGGTCAACCAGCTCTTAAGAAGTTTGTTTCTAACATCTCTCATCAGCAAAATATTTATGTAAGGATCCTTCATCTACAAAAAGCTGCGCTACTAATTGGCTCCAGCTGGAATCGACAAAAGTGGACGGTGAGGGTAAGAACATGAGGTGGAAGTTATCCTTGAGGTACTATTGCAAAAAACATTTTAAAGAAAACCTATTAGAGACAATTTTAGACTAATGGAAAAATTGTGCTCACCTTTGGTTGACCTCATTTTCAGCTACTGTGATATTTTACATTATTAAACAATTGTGATAGCCCCTTAATCTGCAGATGCAGATGGAGATTAAGGCGCTTTGATCATGTTTCTTATAGTCTTATCAAAATTAAACTGGATGAAAACAAAAAATATCGTCAAATATCATTATCTTGTATTCATTCATAAACTAACATTTATGACCAAACCTATGTACTTAAGAAAAAAGCTAATCTTTATCAATAATACATATACATGATAGAGATATTAGATTTCCAAATATGATAAGTACTCATATAATCACCCTACAGCTGTATTTCAGCGTTCTTTCACACAGTGGTGCACTTTTATACAATGCTTTGAGTTTGGCGCTTGTCTGTGTTGCTAGCTTTGTTCCTGTCTTTCCTCGTGTTAATAGTAAAATTTTGCGCAACCTTTTTTCTTATTTTTGATGTCTGCTACATAACAACTTTTTTTGCATGGTTCTAAAAGAAGCGTGTGAAGTTTGAATAAAGACGATTATTACTGTTATTATTATATATTATTGCGGGTGACGTAACGTATTTTGTTAACGAATATTAATTAAGAATTACTAATGACGAATTTTTAAAATATATGAGTAATGATTACGTTCTAAAATGCTTGCCTTGACGAAATACTGAACACAGTATTTTCCAAGCTCCCCATATAAGTTGTAAGTAACTGCTCAAAATCTCGATATCTGAAGTGCGAGTCCGACCTCTTTTCTGTTTAACTTCATGAAAACTGGAATCATTTAGTTGTAAGAAAATAACGTTTTGTACCATATACAGTGACGTCGGAATGTGTACGAGAGAGAATCGCGATAAGCATGCAATACGTGTGCTAGAAGGAAATAGAAAAAGCTGCAATTTGTCGCGTTGCCATCAGCGTACTCTTTCTAACATACATATTGCACGCTTCCGGCGCTTCTCTCTCTTACACATTACGACGTCAGCCAAATTAGAACCTCACGGTAGATCGCCGTATCCGTGATATCTTAACGGATGCAGATAGGTCCTTATGGTCTGGTCCAAAATTCTTCTACTGGTACATATTCATACGTAGTGCAATTCAAAACTCAACTTGCGGCATTCACACAGGAATTTACTCACTTCAAGTGTCTTGGTGTATGTCACTGATTGAGAATGGTCAAGGTAAATCCCGCTCCTGAAGGTCCCGTGATTTCCAGGAATTTTAAATGGGATTTGAACAACCGGAACCGCAACACCTTGTCCGGACCATTCGTCACTATCGGGACTAACTATAAAACAAATTATTAATAAAAATACGAATATGTATTTAGCGTGGATCACTACTTGCCAGTTTGATGAAGACTGATTCATGGCTACGCGAATATTGTCTCTTGCGATTAATAATATAAGTGAAATGAAATGCCTGTTTGTCACACAAAAAGAAGTAAGTACTAAATAGGCCAAACATTTAACTGATAATGGTAATAATAGTAATAACAATAGAAGTCTTTATTAACAGAATTACAAAATTACAAAATTACTGCGGACTGATTGGCGAAGTTTAGCATCTGCTACTCTTACAGAAATTTCTAAAATAGAAAAATCACATACCAATGGTTATGAAAAAAAATACACAGCTGCAATGATATATATATATATATATATATATATATATATATATATATATATATATATATATATAATTATAGGTGAAAAATTAAAGCTTCCGCCTTTTGTTGGGTACTTCGACAAAATTTAAGCAAAGAGGACTCTTTATACTTTTTTTAATTCTCTCTAGCTTTCAATGGACTTTGCCATCATCATCAGGAGAGTAGTATGTGAGGATGTTGCTAATTGTTGTTTACGTATAGGATGAGGGAAACGTCCAGTAACATGGTGAGAGCTGGATAGATTGTACAATGGTCAAAATTATATAAAATATGACAAGAACAAGTTAAAAACAGATTAAAAATTATTTAAAAAACATTAGAGCATTACATCGTGAAGCCACTTGATGATTGCACAAATTAGTGGTCATGGAATAATGAGTGAGATGACAACAAAGTCCATTGAAAGCTAGAGAGAATTAAAAAAAGTATAAATAGTCCTCTTTGCTTAAATTTTGTCGAAGTACCCAACAAAAGGCGGAAGCTTTAATTTTTCACCTAACTGGTCTAGACGACAATAACCACGTCTCAAGTTATATATATATATATATATGAAAATACGGAACACAGGAAGAGAATATTTTTTATACGCCTCAGTAATTCAATTGTATCTTATGGCAACATTATATGTGAAACAACGTTTGAAGAGGGCTTAGCGATGTTATATATTAATATTTTTAGGCATTTGCTACGTATATCCTTATAAAGGAATGTTTTTGTGAGATAACGAAGCTTCAAAGTTAGCAATAGTTTGTGCGTGAAATTTAAGTAATGATATTCTACTAAATCATTCAGTTTCATTCACTTTAGTACCTGATAGTTAGCTGAAACGTGGTCAAATTTGCGCAGTCTGAATATAGACACAATTGTTGTGAATCACCTGAACAATATTTTTAGTAAAATAATCTAATGTTGGAAAAAACAATATCGTGATTGAAAATCTAGTAGGTAACTATGAACTATTAAAGTACGTAATTGAGGATAAGTTTTTTGACAGATACCCTTTACGTGTTCAATAAAACTAGTATCAAAAATCACACCAAGGATTTTAGCGGAATCCGTGCATTGATTGTCTATAGTAATTTTTAGGTGAGGATGCACAATACTCTTCTTTTATTGATTACAAACCAAAATGATTGTAGATTTACTTGGATCAACCTTAAGGTTGAGATTCGTAGAAAATTTTATCAGGTCGTTAACAGCATGCTGCAAAATGTCACTAGTATTGGAGGCTTCCTAAGGATTAAGTAATATAATAATTGGGTGTCGTCTGCATAATAGTCCCGGTAAAGAGCTTTGTGGCACACCTTCTTATAACTTGTAAATACGCTTTAATCGGTAAAACTATTTTTTATAATATTCAAGTTTCTTCTTGTTTGTTGACCTAGTTGGTAGAGAGGAAGTTCGTCATTCTCATGATTTCCTTCATCTTCATCTGGGTCTTGTTCAACTAACTCAAAGTCAGGATCGCCCAAGCTCTTCGCAACATTATGGAGTACAATACAAGCAATATATATTTTCGGGACATTTTCCAACTTTACGCGGCAAACCTACTGTAGGATAGGAAACCGGAGTTTCAGTTGGCCGAAACAGCGTTCAATTGTAACTCTTTCTTGTTTTAAAAGCTTATTATAATTTATTTCTGCACCTGGAGTAGGATTTCCGAAGGGAGTCATAAGGCATGGCTCAATACCATAACCGTCATCGCCAAGTAGTGCAACATTTGCTTTATTTATTAGTTGTGTGAATTTCTCGATATTCTGGAATCATGCACTGATCCAGGCCAACTGACATCAACACTTGTGAACATCTCTCTGGCATCACAAGTGGCTTGCACATTTAAAGTAGGTTTCTCTTTTCGGTCGATAAACTCATCTCCATGACGATTTGGTTTCAGGATTCCTATATGTGTACAATCAATTACACCAATTGCTGTCGGAAATTTATACATGCTTTGCCATATCCGCTTGGCCTCCATTAGTTCATGGTTGGTAGTTGGAAACTTGATCCATTCGTTCGACTATGCAACTATGCTGTTCACAACTCTATCCACAGTCCGAGATACCGTTGCTTGACTAACACCAAGCTCTTGACCAATACCTTGTTGATATCCAGGGTCACCGAGATAGCGTAGACATATCTTCATTTTATGAATACATGAAAATACTCCACCTCGAGTTTCCTCATTCTCAACTAAAAATCTGTCCGCAAGCCATTGTACATTTGCTTCGTCGAACCGATATAATTTTTTGAAGTTACAACCAAGTGAAGGTAAACGAGGTTTGTACGTTTTAACATCCCTAATATCCACAATTTCCGCCATCATCGTTTGACCACCTTTCGTTACGAAGTTGAGTTTGCTACTGACCACACTCAGAATTTTGGAAGGATGTGCTTCCTATGCCAAGTATAAGGTGAAGATTATGAATATCCTTTTACTTATGACACTGCTTTGAAGGATATGCATATACTCAAAAAGCAAAGGCATTTACTTCAAATTATTATGAATACCATCTGGAGGATTTCCCTCAAAATTTGCAAGTACAAGGATAACATTTGTTTTATGAATACGGCTCTATGTTGATGATAGCTTTTGTAAGAATTCACAAATAATGTATCAAGACTTATGTAACTAAGCTTTTGCAGTAACAATTCATAGTAAATACTTTAAAAACCCTTGAGTAGTCTTTAGATATAAAAGAAACTGCCATGTTTTATCCAACGCTCGTAAAATATCATCCTGAATATTAAGTAGAGCAGAGGTTGTTCCATAATTTTTCTTGAAACCAGATTGTGTATCTGAAAGAATACTGTACCTACTTATCAAGATATGAATATAATTGGAAGTTTATGGTACTTTGATATGGAATTGGAATTAACCTCGGACTAAAACCGAATTCGACCTTAAAGTTCTGAAGATCCCGGGACTTCCGGTTCCTTCGTCAGCTAGTCCTGGAATTTCAGGTTCTCTGTAATGGCAGCGCTTCTTCATTCTTTAGCTGCTGGACACAATTTTGTACATTTACTATTTTGTAGGCTCATTGGTACTACGAAATTTACATCCAATTCTGACGTTCTGGTTTCATACTAAGGACATTGTGGGTTGGAGTTGAACCTCAGAAATACTTTGTTATGTATTATGGTACGAACACTCTGTATGAATATTTTTATTTGAAACTTTTAGTAAATCTTAAGATTTGCAAGTAATGTAGGAAATGCTGCAGTAAGCAGACCAACTACCTAGCAAAAACATAAAGAAGAACAAGCTTAACCATAAAACGAAATAAGGATAGATAGATAGATAGATAGTTTATTGTCCTATTAGATCATGTTACATGATATAAGACTTGTCAATGTCAATTTGAGGGTCATATATGCGTTTGAGCAAATATGCCGGAAAAATACTTATAATTATAAAATAAATAAGGACATTACAATTACAAAACATTTTAACACTTTAAATCACATTATAGGTACAGCGCAAGAATCGTAATGTGTTCAATCTGTAACAGTATACATATACAGTGACTTTTTTTATCACAAAAAATGTTCGTCTGGCCGGTAAAAATCACTGAAGCTGATACAAAGAGAAGCGGTGGGAGAATCTGTTAGAAATACATAATATATAAACACAATAAACATCGAGCAGTGAGGACAAATGCTTAAAAGCATAAAAAGAAATCATCCATACTTTCGTTAAAACTCGAATAAAAAGTGAAATTAATATACATTTACTCCACGATAATAGACAATTCACTGATAACGAATGATTAACAGCTTAAAAGATTTAAAAAACAAATACATTTCATGTGTTAATAAAACTCACAATGTAGAGAGTAAAAGCATTTTTCAACTAGATATTTCCTGAGCTGGTTTTTCAGCGCAAGGATATTAGTGCTTCTCCGCAACTCACTCGGCAGATTATTGTATACCTTAGCGCACGCAAGAGAGGGAGATTTTTGGAATAGGGCAGAGTTATGTGTCGGTATACTCAGATCATGCCATGTTCTAGTGTTGTATTGACTATTAATGGCGTTGTTACGAACAAATCTATTGCTATGTTCAAATGCGAAGATGGCACATTTGTAGATATAGATGGAAGTTAATGTAAGCAGATTATAGCGCCTAAGTATTTCTTTACAAGAGTCCCTCTTATTAATATTAAAAATTGTTGCCTGTCCCCATATGATTATATTGTTAGTGAGGTGAGAATAAACTAGCGCGTAATACATATCTAGGAGTGAGATTAGATGGATGTTAGGCTTGAATTTCAATATTGCAAAATAAGCACTGTTAATTTTGTTGCAAATGTGATTTATTTGTGGTTGCCAGCTTAAGTTACTATCAACATGGGTTCCTAAGAAGTTTGATCTAAAAAGCTATCAATATCCATGCGTGGTTTCTTGTGGAAGACAGGTGTTTCACTATGGGAGTAAATGCCCGAATGTGTGTTAAATGTGTTTGTTCTATTCTCACTTCCATCAAACCTTAGAAAAACATTTCCCAATACTAAACCATCCAAATACTCTCATTAAAAGTATGTCCGCCATCAGCGATTCGTACCCCTCAAGACACCCGAATAACAATCGATAACTGCCCCCGAAAATAAAATTCGTTCTGATGACGGTTGAAGTGGGAATCGCAATCGAACGAACGAAAGCTGGCAGGCTGGCTGCTGGTCGCTGCCTGCCACTTATTCACCCTTCTTTTTAATCCCCGACGTGCCCCTCTCCTCCTAATAAGCCCCCACCACCGCTGTTTCTTATTTCCCTGTCCCTCTACCCAACTTTCTTCCATCCCTTCGGCCGGAGCGTCCACGAGGACCTGCCGTTATTTTTTACGCAAAAGAAAAAATGGCGTCAAGTAGGTTGACTCTGCACGTCCCGCGCACCGTTGTCACCAGTTCATAAAGACTATGATCGGCAAAAGTTAGTCCCTTTGAACTAGCTGAAAACGTAACAGAAAAATGAAATGGATTATGTCAGCGCTGGTCTAAGAATCGACCATCTGGCACCGGTGTTTAACCACACTAATATAGTAACCGGCGATGCAATCAGAGTCAATCGGACGCAGACACTGGTCAGCGTATGAAGGTTGTGTCGCGTCTACAAAGTTTTAAGGACAAATGTACCTATTACGAGTAGGTGTGAAATATATACGTAAAATTAATGGGGTTTGAACTGTATAAGTATATTGCACTAAAAAAATTGAATATAGCCTCCCTCACCCCCTACAACCCCCAACCCCGATTTGTAAGTTTGAACGGTTTTTATTTTTTCATGTTTTTCCCCTAGTCATCACTGAACCAAATTTCAAAAGCTTTTGCGGACTTAGCATAGAACCAATACTGAGTAAGAAATTTCATCGAAGTCTGAGAGAGATAAAATTAGCGGAAATGAGTGATATGGTTTTTTGTGATGTACATGTCATATAACATTCAAAAAATATATATCTCCTTTTCGAAAATTTTCGCGATTACAATACTTGCCTGCCAGTAATCGTGGAAAGTATAAACATGAGGGTCAATAGATATCTAGTGTATACTTGGAGTGAACCTCTTTTCGTTTCTCAAAATTACAGATAATACAAAAGTAAAAACGAGTACTTTAATACAACATTATTAAATGATACTGGTCTAAGTTTTGGAACTTGAATTTTCGCAGCGCTTTGAGGTAGGTACAAATTTTACGAAAAGCGAGTGGTGCATATTCATGAACAATCCATCCATCTTGCTATTCTTGGTAAACACTTACCATAGATATTGAACCTTATTAGAGCTTCTGCATACTTGAGAGCTTTATTCAAAGTATAATAAAATGTAAAATAACGTTAGAAATTAACTTTTCATTGTTATTTATTTGTGTCTGCCATTGAGAAACTTCAAAGCAGACATTCTTTTGAAGAAAATATTCAAAAATGATTGTGCGTTTTGGGCTCGCAGGTCACAGAAGTCCCCATATCTTAGTCTAAATAGACTTTCTGAGTTTAGCGATAATTTATCATTTTTGAATGGTCATAAAACCAAGTCTCACTCGCTTGTGAAGACGAGACAAAAAGTTAAATTTTATAATGCTATAATTTGTAATTTAAATGCTTTTTGAGGAATACCTCAAAAAAATGTTGCTTACCTGAAGCCTTAACCAAAATCAGCTTCTTGAATAAATCTGATTCGCGGATCAAGAGTTTAATGTTAGTTTCGTTTGCCTAGCTTGACAGGAGGTCCCAACAGTCACATTTTCCTACTCCAAATAAGACTTTACTAAACTTAAGCGTCTTTCTGTAATCATTTCAGCGCCCCAAATTACGTATACCGAGCTGCTCTCCGCTTGGAACAACATAAGACTAAGATGGAAATTTTGCATTGAGAACCTTTGAAAGTTTAAGCGTATATTCTTCTTTAGTAGTATTACTAAAGAATTTACAAAATTATTGTGCAGTTTCCGTTAATATGCGCACATTCTGGCTCTACCTTAAGAGATCCGCCGGATAGTACCTCCACGTCCGACGGCTTGAGACCTTCTGCCACCTGAGGACAATCACAACGTCCATAGCCAAGAGACACATTCTCCTGGGATGGGATTCGAACGCGCGCAGCTCACGGCGGCTAAAATACAAACACCAGCTCGCTCCAATTCAGCAGGTACCGACAAACTGTAAAAGCAGCGATTGCGTGCTCATGATTGTTTTGACGCAGACTAAGTGAGGTTTGAATAGATTATAGGTTGTGTGTCCACCACACAGCGCTAATCACTACGGCATCGAGCTGTCTAGCCCTAAATAGGGCCTTTTTTGATGGTTATATTCGAAATTAGAATCCCAAATTACTAGATGGTTAATTCGCCCGTAACGAATGAAGTATCGAAATAAATTAGAAAACCTTTATTAAAAATTCCTACAGATCTGTTACTGGACAAATCGGATGCGTAGGTCACGAATCTAATATTATAACCAAATTATGTAAAATACCAAAATTATAAT